CCCCCCCCCCCCCCCCCCGTTTCAAAATCTTCGCTCAGACCCGCGTACAGACTCCCAAAAAAATAACCAAATTTCTTTGGCGGGCAATGATTTCGGGAACCCGGCAAGATAAAAAGCAAGCATATTCAATGTGCTTGCGTGAGCTAAAGATTTCAAATTCAGCCATTGCACACACTTGTGCAGCGCGTACGGTTACGTCAAAGTTTGAACCTGGAATTGTGCTAACTCGAAAACAAAGGAAAACAATGGCTGGAATTTTGTCAGAATATTAATCGTCTATGTGGAAATCGTATACCTGAGTTCCGATTTGCACTTGCATCACTACTTAGGACACTTTAAATGTATTTGAAGCGAAGTGGTTATTTCGCATACCGGATAATATGCGAGGCTAACACTTCGCTGGAATATCCTACTTTCAGGTGCAGTTTTGATTCCGCCTTGAAGTGAAATTTCTTGCAATTGGATATGAGAAATACCCGACCTTATCGCAAACTCAGGAACGAGTGCATTTCGCAGCAAACGACCGCTCTCATCCTCTCCCAGCATTCAGTTCGTTTACATATTTGGATCTTTCGACTAACGACCGCTCTAGCAACATTTCCACTTTTCAGTGAAGAACCGAAACTGGATGCTTTGAGGGAGGATGAGGGCGGTCGTTCGTTGTAAAATGCACTCGCTTCTGACTGAAACCTGCGTAAAAAACTGAGCAAAAACGCATGCTCGCACTGGCTAGCCTAGTGCCTCCCAGCCTGGGTTACTCACTGATAGAGATATTATGCAACTGTATGGAAATTACGAAAAAAGACTTGCTAATCCGAATTCCGTTGAAGCCTTTTAAGGAAAACCCCGTAAGCCCCTAATATGCACGTGCGCCGCCTGACCTAGCCAAAGCATATCCCGAAAAATCAAATGAGAAAACCTTTTATAACAAGAAAAGAAATGTACTTGCAAGAGGTGCATTCGTCTGTCTTCCAGCTGGACCCGGCAACATGTACAACATGATCACTGTCCGTGCAAACCACATTACCCAAACTTGTTGGCGGTACTTCTGTTATCACTGTGGATTCTGTTTCTTCAGGACACCTGCAACAGCTAACTGAAACAGCATCCGCTATGCATAAGTAACTGAATATTCTCGAAAGAGTACAAAACGTGAACAGCGTCAACTCAAAATTTTACCTTATGATGCTTCCTCTCCCCCGACCCCCAGGCTGCAACGCACCAAGCTTGCCGGTGCGATCATGCGTTTTTACGCTAAAATTGCAGGACGCTACCAGCATGAATGGTCCCTGCGCTGTAGCTCAACTCTTGGACTCATATTGGCTGTGTGTTGGCCTTTTCCCACATGCAGAGGAAAGGGCGCCGGCTGGAATGAAGGTGTTGCATTGTGGAGCCGCACGGGCCTCACCGTGCATGATTATCATTTTTTTGCATAAAGCCCGGCCGTTTTTCCGGTGAATGCTCGTTCACTGAAGCCCAGGCTGGAACGCAACAGGCGAGCCGGCGCGATCATGCGTTTTTGCACCAAACTTGACGTAATTAAGTTAGCTGCATGAATGGTTGTTGCTTCACACCTACATTGTGCGCTCACTACCGTAAATCATCGAAAATTTTGCGTAAAGAAAAATGAACAATTCCGTTTAGCGTTTTTTCTTTGAATATGGCCTAGCTGTTCGATGTGCTATTTTCCCGCCAAAAAATTTAAGTGCACGCACACGAGGGCCACGCATACCTGGAGGTTGAATTTGAAACTTTTAACCTGTGTTGGGACAGAGAATATTCTCCTAAAATCTCAGCTTTCCAGCTTTTCTGTTCTCGAGTTAGCCATTTTCCCCCCGAAAACTTCACGTGCTCGTGTGTGAGTACCATGCATATCCGACGGTTGAATTTGAAACCTTTAAATTATACGTGGACAGGGAACATCCCCTGAAAATTTCAGCTCTTTCGGTTATCGAGTTAGCAATTTTCCCTCCAAAACTTCCACGTACTCGTACTTGTGAACCACGGAATCCTACGGCCTGAATTTGAAATCTTCAGCTCGCGGATGTATGGAGACTACCGTGCAAAGTTTCAGTTCTCCGCCTTCCTTGCTTCCCAAGATCGCTTTCCTGCCAAAAAATTTGCATATTTCTTTGAGGCGTTCGTACTTGGAACACAGGCATA